CTCTGAGCCTAAAGAGACATGTAGGCTGAACAGGTGTTAGAGGGATAGTGGGAGTATACTCAGAAGTATATGTAGGCATGACAGAGGGTATTTGCATATGTATATTTACCTTTGCTGCAAACATATCCATGAATGTGGTGGGGCGCACAGGGAGCAAAGCGTTGAAAACTTCTTAGGCATAAGCAAACATCTTGAAGGGATGAGTTGCTAGTCCTGAGGCCTCAGGACCATCGTGGGGGACCATGAAGGTCAAATGGCATAAAGACTGTTCTGTATCCTTACTTTGTGATTAGTGACTGGGATCTGGATATAGTGGGAGAAAAATGTGGGTCCAAACTCACTTATAAAAGGCCAGAGAGAGACTGCTGGGACCCTCAACATTATGGTCTTTAGTCTCCCTTCGGATCAAGAGTTGATTGAATCCCCTCCCCCTCCCCCGAACCCCGGGTTAGAATAATCAACTATTTAAGACCAGAAAAGGCAGCATTTACCCAAGGACACAGTCAGAGTGTAGTAAAGACAGAGAAATGGAAGCAAGAAGGGCAATAACTGGTGGGGTGTTGTGAGGATTGCAAGGGCTGTGTTGAAGCCCAATGTGTATGAATTGTTGAATGCAAGCTGCTGAACTGCACTGTAAACCTTCACCTAATTCACCATAAGAAGATTTTTTTAATGAAAAAACAAATACCAGAGAGTCCATTTACCACAACACTCCTGCTCATCTGCTCATGGACATTTGGGTTGTTTCTACCTTTTGGGATCATGAGGTTGAACTTGAACTATTTGAGCAACTACTAGTAATAGCTCGAACTATCTACCTCCCCAATGTGTGTTGGAATCCTAACCTCCTTTGTCGGAGGCTGTAATCCCATTTGGGAATAAGGTTTTCTTTGTTATGTCCATGAGTTCTGGTCAGTCCCAGGTGTGTTCTCAATCTGTCACTCTTGAGTGACATAAGGGGCAGCAGAGACAGGGAACAAGCAGACAGACCCTGGGGGAAGAATTCAGACACTGAAG